CAATAATTATCAGATCCTTTGCATTGTGCAAAAAGGTCAGCTTATAATTTAAGAAACATTAAAAAGAAAGCACCACTGACAAAGTTTAAAACCTACCATGGGGCTAATATGACCAAAAGAAGGAAATGAATACAGCTGTTGGATTTTAATTACTGTACATAACTACTATTCAATGAAAGCTAAAAATTCACTTTTACATTCATTTATCATGGTTTAGCAGAATTTGTTAGAGCAAACATTCATCTACAACTCAGAGACATTTTGAAGGAAAAGGCGTTAAAGTTTCTAAAATAATATTACAAGCAAGGTAGTATTCAAAAATAACAGAAACTGAATCAACCCACAAGTTGCTCAAAAATACTACTGGAAATACACAGCATGTTACCTTACCACACACACGTTCACATCACTACCTTCCCCAGAACTGCAATTGGGAACCTGGAAATACTTTGGGCCCCAATTCTACTCAGCTTTAAGACAGTTGAAACTTTCCATCAGACACAGGGTGAATTATCTTGCACCTTAAGACATAACATTTGTTAGTAATGTCTTTTCCACTGGCAGAATCACAGAGCAGCTGAGCTGGAAGGAACCTCTAGAGATGGATTAACTCAACCTCCAGGCTGCCCAGAGCGATGTCCAGGGGGGTTTTGAGCATCTCCAAGGAAGATGATGCCCACAGTTTTTCAAGGCAACTGGTTCTCATGTTCAACCACCTCCACAGCATAAAAAAATTTACTTTTAGACACTTAAAATCTGCAGCACCTGGACAGGGACATGCAGCTACAAGAATATTTGAGATGAAGTTCTCAAAGCCAGCATTCAGACATCTGGAACAGCTTGAGTAGGATAAAAAAAGTCAGTTCCTGGCTCCTTAAGTCATCATACCACAAGAGAGTATTACAACAGTAATAAAACTGTTCTGAGGACTTGCATTACAGAAAGCTGTCCCCACATATCCCCTTCTTTAGAGAGTCTTCATTGGCATTTACCAAAGCTGAAGTGATCCCAAAAGAAACTTCCAAGTTTCTTTGTTTTACAACACAGAGAGGAATTTGTTAGATTGTTCTAAGTCATCCCTACAATTCTGAATTCCCCAGTTACAAGAGAGCACTTTAGGACAACATCATTGTGTTACACAACTATCTTGACACCATCAGCAGAAGGAAGCAGTCTTAGATGTCACTTGCAGATAAATTAAAACAGTTTTGAATCTGCCACTGGAAGGTTTTACATAGTGATCTACCAGCTGCAAGGCACATTTTGTCAAAAAACTTCTAAATTACAGTATGTATGCTAAACAGAATATTTTTAATAGAGAAATGTTATGTAAGGAAAATATTTCCAGATGAGGAACTCCAGCTGACAGAGGGATGGAAGTGCAAAGAGCTGGAGGACTGTTAAACACATACCATCATCCTCCTTGTTTTCCAGGGGCACACTCCAGGCTATCAGGTTCCTTGCTGTCCGTCCCTCCTCTGCCACTATTTTCCTCACTTTGTCATGGCTGTTGGAGCGTTGGAAAGAAGCCTGAAAACAAGAAATACATGGATGGGCACATAAGAAAGAGAAATCTTTGGTTTGACATGTTGATTTCATCCAGTATGTGGTTACACCATCCAACATGGTGCTGAATTTTCCTCAAATATCTGAAACAGGTGGATGCATTCCTTTTCATTGCCATTCTTCTGCACAGGAGCAGATTTACTCATCAGCATGGCGTGGGTACCTTCAGACCACATCACTTTCATTTAATTGCTTGGCAATGCTGCTGGGACATCACAGCAGACTTCACCGATGTTTTAATTACCCTGTGTCAATTAGAACTAATTATACAAGGTAATGGCAGCATGAGACCAAAATACACTTTGTGTTGCTGATTGGTGAGAGCCTGGAGAAAGGCATGAGCTGTATGGGAACCATCTGAAGCAGGAATAAAATCCCAGCTCTCTCACTGAGAAGACAAGAACCTAGAAAGTATTTCCTGGCAACTGTGCTGGGCTGTTACTGCAAAGCTGCAACCACTCAAAGACAGAATAAGAGACCCTGGGATGCTCTCCATTTACCTAATAAAGTTCTTTGCACTTGGGAGGTGCACCATCACAAGACATCTGAAACCAAGTACATTAGAAGTATTTGTATCAACTGAGAGATGTCAATCAGATAAAATCTTGCCTCTTCTACTATATAGGAAAGTTAATCCTCAAAAAATAACTTGCAACAAAGCCAAACAATGTACAGTGATGATACACTTAAGTACCACGATAGCACAAACCTGCTGACCAGGTTAGCTTTAAACACTGGCCAACTTAACCATAAAGGAGTTAAACAAACCTAAGAATTACTTTAGGCACAAACAGGCTGATTTTCTATAGAACTAATCAGGAGGTACATTTTTCCTCTTTTCATTTTTACCATCATATGGCTCAAGCCTGCAACCACTTCTACATCCTTAGAAAGAAAATACAGTAAAGTTACACTAAAAACAAATATAGAAGATGAGTGGCTAGAATTTTTTAAGGCAGCAGGAAAATAACACAAACGAGAAACTTCTTTTACTTTAATGCCAATCTAATAGTTTTTAACTTGGGTTTCTCTCATCCAGATGTCCTCAGTTGCCTTTCTGGAAGTCACAGTGTGCCATCTAGTGCCTCACAGACTGCCCACAGACACCACCAGGCAACACAACACAGGAAAAAATAGCACTGCTCAATCTGTGAAGTTGTGGAAAACAGAGTAAAATTACAGACCTTGGCCCAAAGCAACTCAAATAAAGCACATAAAACCCCCAGAACCTGTACAGAGCTGGCTCTAATCTATCCTTATTCTATACAACTAATTGCCTGTTCTTGCTGGGAATTTTTAGTAAGCGTGACCATTTCTGCTGCAGCAAGTTTGGTTTGGGTTTTTAATCCCTTATTGCTTAATGAACTGAGTGTAAAACTTTGCATTAGTCCACAACAAACTAACTTCCCAAATTATTTATTTTTATACAAGCCAGAAAAGCTTAAAAGGAAACAATAAGTATCTCATCACGACACTTCAAGGTATTTTGTAGAGCCTAACTTAAAATTCTCATCTCTGTAACCTGGACCTCAGCCAAAAGGGAGGCCCAAGCAGGAGTCAGCAATGAGGAACTGCACAGCCAAAGTGAGAATCACTGTGCCAAAGGCAGGAGTGGCCAGGAACAGCCTTTCCATCTGACAAGAGCTCACTGCAGGCCCCTCCCTCTCCCACTGACCCCTGGCTTTGAGGGCTCCCTCACCTCAATCCCTGCTGTTTGCTGCTCAGATATCCAGGGGAGTTTCCTTCTGCCACGTGCTCTGCATCCAATCACCCTCAGGCCAAAGGAGGGACCAGAAACTGCTCAGCCTCAAACAGCAAATGCTTATTATTTAATCTGTACTGCTTCTTGTCATGGCTATAAATACTAAAGGACCTTTTATGAGGATTCTTTTTTAAATGATGCTCAAAGATATAAATACATTGATGTAAACAAACCGAGCAGCTTCATCCTCTGCATTCCCAAGGAAAAGTCATTCAGCTCTAAGCTCAGCCCCTTCTAAGAACACCACAAACATTGAGGTCTTACACTGCAGCACAGCTTGCATGAAAGCAGCTTAAAATGGGAGTCAGCTGAAAAAAAAGGAATGCAAAACCCCCACATACTAACACAACTAGAAATTATGCAAAACAGAAGAAATGCTCAGATTTATTCTACTGTAAAATTCCTTTTTGAAGCTTCCTCTCTACAGTGTTAATGAATAACATTTATTTAGCTCCTAGAATCAATACTTTCATAGAAGGTACAAATTAACTGATTTATTAATTAACCCCAACATGAAAAAATAGTTTTTCTTGCTGTTGAAAAAATACCATAGAGTGTAATAGCTACTGAATGTCTTACCATCATGTTATAGCCTTCCTCTGCATCAACAGGCTCACTTATTACATTTTTGGATGACCCCATTGAGTTTTCATACCTGTGTCAAAAAAATGCAATTAATAATTTTACCTTAAACCACTTCTAAAATTACTTTTAGCTTGCTGGCAGCATTTAGGTCATGTACATCAGATGAGCACAGTAAGGTTGTCAGAAGATAATTTTATTTGTAAAGTGTTTGCATTGCTCCTAACTAAAAACAGCCAAAAGTCCAAGAAGAAAACAAAAAGAGACTGACACTGCAGAAAAATGTAATTTTATATGTGGTTAGACAGGAAACAGTACAAAGACTATCAAAACTTTCAAACAAATCATTGCATGGACTGCCCTAGAACAGTGATTCAAGTAGAATAATCTTTCCTGGGACAGAGAACTGGGCAAGTTGGTGATTAGTTCAGAAAGAAAAACAAATCAGAGATACACTAATAATCAGCATCAGCTAATTAATGATGAAGTAAAATAAAACTGAAACTTCTGTTCTCATGGAACTCTAAGATGTGAAGGCTCCTGCACAAGTGAGCTCTGGCAAAGTGAACGCTTTATGCAGCTGTAACAAAACCATTGCCACAACTGAAGAAAGTCCACAGGTGCAAATATTTATAGGTTTATCAAGAATTTCCAAAACAGTGTTAACAATTCTGAAATAAAGTTAAATCCTTGGCTTTAAGGTTGATAAATTCTAAACAGCTGAGTGCAGTCTATTTTGAGTGCAGTCTAATCTTACTTATCTGAAGAATCAGACACTAAATGGAAATTAAAGACACTTCTAAATTATGCAAGGTCAGGTAAAAAAACAATATTAACCTTTAATCAGGTCCAAAGTCAGATTTTGTTGGCCTTTACCATGAATGACACTGCTTTAAGCAGACTGTTCACCTGTTCTCACACGACAGAAATAGCTGAATTTTCTGTAGGGATTTAGCCCAGCCTGTGCCAACAAGCCCACGGATCTCTGTATGCCTTAAGACAACCTACTAAACCCATACAAAGCAAAATACAATGCAGCTGGATGGAGTTTTTGAAAACAAAGATTGTATTTCTGCATCACTTCAGCCATCAGAACAGACCCACCACTGAGTCTTCAAACACTGAAGGATCTTAGAAAACACCTCTTGTACACCAAACTTGATTGTAATCGAGGGATAATAAAAGCAGATTAAACTGACATATATATTTCAGGAGAGAATACGAGGATCCACGTATTTTCCCAGTAGTGCAGTTCACTTGCAAATAATGCAGAAATAGGAATTTGTATTTAGAGAACTGCATAGAGAAGGCAGACTCTGAGTACACTGCGAGACCTTCTGTGCTGTCAGCCGTGATTTTGTCTCTGACAGCAAAGGAAGAGCAGGGGTTTACACTAGGAACGACATTAGCAGTTTCTAAGATGCAAACAGCCATACAGCATTGTGGCATTTGACACGGGTTCACAGCGAATTTCCTCAGCGAGGGTGCTTCTACCCCCAACACAACTCCCGCTGAGGACAGGGGGGCCTGTACACCCTGAAGGACCGGCGGGGTCCCAAGCACCGGGACTCCCCTCAGGCTGAGCCCGAGTCTCCCCACGGGCAGTGCGGGAACGCCGCGAGGGGCTGGCTCAGACG